GTAGGAGTAGGGAGTAGGAGTAGGAGGAGGAGGAGGAGAGGAGGATGGGGAGGAGGAGAAAGGAGGAGAAGGAGGAGGAGGAGGAGAAGAAGGAGGGGAGGAGGCAAGGGAGGCAGGGGAGGCAAGAGAGGCAAGGGAGGCAAGGGAGTGAACAGGAAGCAGGGACGGGGAAAGCAGCGCCGAAGGACCAAGACCCTGCGCAGTCCTCCTCCTCCTCTTCGACCTCCTCCTCCTCCACTTTCTCCTCCTCCTCCTCCTCTCCTCCTCCTCCCCCCTCCTCCTCCTGCTTTTCCTCCTCCTCCTCCTCCTCACCTCTCCTCCTCTCTCCTCCTCTCCTCCTCCTCCTCCTCCTCCTCCTCCTCTCCTCCTCCTCCTCCTCTTCCTCCTCCTCCACCACCTCCACCTCCGCCTCCTCCTCTTCCTCCTCCTCTTCCTCTCCTCCACGTCCTCCCCGTACATCCTCCTCTTCCTCATCCCCCTACATTCTCCTCCTCCTCATCCTCCTCCGCCTCCTGTTCCTCCTTATTCCTCCTCCTTCCTCCGCCTCCTCCTCCTCCTCTGCTCGGTCCTCCTCCTCCTCCCTCCTCTCCTCCTCCTCCTCCTCCTCCTCCACTCCTTCCTCCTCCTCCTACTCCTCCTCCACCTCCTCCTCCTCCTCCTCCTCCTCCTCCTCCTCCTCCTCACCCTCGCCCTCCCCCTCCTCCTCCTCCTCCTCCTCCTCCTCCTCCTCCTCCTCCTCCTCCTCCTCCTCCCGCTGCCCTGGAGCAGCGCAGAAAGGACCCGGACCCGGCGCAGTACTACGAGTTGCTGCGGGCGCAGACGTTCGATGGCTCCTTCGACTTCGGGGAGCCTCCGGGCGCCAGCGGGGCGCAGGCGGCGGCCCGCGATCCAGGGGGAGAGCGGGTAAGAGGAGGAGGAGGAGGAGGAGGAGGAGGAGGAGGAGGAGGAGGAGGAGGAGGAGGAGGAGGGAGGGAGGAGAGGGGGAGGAGGAGGAGGAGGAGGAGGAGGAGGAGGAGGAGGAGGAGGAAGAGGAGGAGGAGGAGGAGGAGGAGGAGTTGGAGGAGGAGGAGGAGGGGAGGAGAGATAGAGGGGGAGGAGGAGGAGGAGGAAGGAGGAGAAAGAGGAGGAGGAGGAGGAGGAGGAGGAAGGAGGGCTTGCGTCGGGAGCAGTTCGCAGTGAAGGGCGAGATGGGCCCATGGGTCGCGGAGTCGGCGGATCTGGAGCCACGGATGGCCCTTCAGGAACGGGCGGGGCGCACCGCGGCCCGCGGCCCGAGAGGCCTGGGGCGTCGGGGGACTGGAAGGGCCGGGGCCCCTCGCCGGCCCTGCCGCGGGAGGTGGCGGGGCCAGAGCGGCGAGAGCCTCCGCTCATCCTCCCCCTCCTGCTGCTCTTTCCCCCCCTTCCTCTTCCTCCTCCTCCTCCTCCTCCTCCGCCTCCTTCCTCCTCCTCCTCCTCCTCCTCCTCCTCCTCCTCCTCCTCCTCCTCCCCCTCCTCCTCCTCCTCCTCCTCCTCCTCCTCCTCCTCCCCCTCCTCCTCGGGCCTCGGGCCGCGGTGCAAGCGAGGCGAAGCAGGTGCAGGCGCCGGTCGGGCTACCGGCGGGGCGCGCCAGGAGCGAGTTGGGGCACGGTGCGACGCGGGGAGAGCAGAGGGGAGGAGGGGAAGAAACACACAGACACAATTAATCGTCGATTCCCAGGAAAATATGGGAAAATATGGGAAGTGGGGGGGGGGGACAAAAACCCAGAACATAGGGGAAAATATGGGGAATTATCTTATTTATGTGTATTTATCTGTGTGTCCCAGTTCCCCTTCAAGAGGGGAGGAGAAGACAGGGCCGCTCAGATCGCTCAGACCGTCGCGGGCGTGCCGACGAAGTGCAGGAGGGCGCCAGAGCGCGGCTGCGCAACGAGCAGCGGTAGCGCCTCCGCGCACCCTTCGGCGAGCAAGCAACAGTTGAGCGCGAAGCGCACATGTGCACAACGACATAGCCACTATCTCGTGAGCGGCGAAAGAAAAACGGGTTCTATTGCGCAGACATTCGCGCGTAAACTGCCCGCGTAAGGTTTTCCAGGTAGGTAAGTAAAGCCAGGTTCGCCCCGTCATTCGTCCGCCGCGCGGCCCTAGTGGGTAAGTCATCCAGGTTCATGCCGTCGTTCGTCGCGGCCACCACTTGACCTGGGGCGCGCCGCTCGTCGTTCCTCGAAGTCAACAACTCGGGGCATGTGGCTTCCGTCGTTTGTCGCCGCCCGTGGTAATGGGATTTCAATATCACCAGGGCCATTTGGCCCCCGCGCCCCCTGGTCTCTGAACGGGCCGCCGCCGCCGCCGAACCCGATACGTGCGAAGTGCACCTAGTGTTCGGGGTCGCCGCCGAAATACGAGAGTGGCGCCAATTGTATGCATGGTTGCGTTCGGCCCCAGCTCTTTCTGTGGGTTATGTCCATACGAATTCTCCTGTGATGAAGTTCAATGCGAGACCCTTCCGTGGAGGATTTCAAGAGGGTCCTTCTGTGGATTGTTTCAAGCGGAATCATTATGTGAAGGCTTTTAACAGGACTCCTTGTGTGGAGGATTTCAATTGTAAACTTCCTATAGAGGATTTCAATCGGAATCCTTGTGTGGAGGATTTCCATGCGAACCCTTATGCATCTGTGGAGGGTTTCAATCACAATCTTTCTGTCAAGGATTCCTATGGCAATCGCAGTTGTGGAAGGATAGTGGGATTCCTTCTGCGGGGGGCGTCGATCAGAATCTTCCTGTCGACGAATTTAATGGAAACCGTGATGTGCAGGATTTCAATCGGAAGCCTTTTATTGGACGGTTTTAATAGGAATCAACATGTGGAGGATGTCAAAGGGAATCCTTGCGTTGACGATTTCAGTCAGAAACCTTCTGTAGAGGTGTTATAGATGACTCCCTCTGCGGAAGGGTTCAAAAGGAACCCTTTTTCGGAGGACGTCATCATGAACCGTTCTCCATGGGAATCCTCCTGTGGAGGATTCCAATCGGCATCCGTTAGTGGAGGCATTCAATGCGAATCTTTATGTGGAAGATTTCAGGAGGAATCCTTCTGCGGAGGGTTCCAATATTTTTTGGAGGGGTTTCAACGAGAATCTTTGGCGTGGAGGGCCCATGTGAATCCTTATGTGTAGGATTGCAATAAAGAAACCTTTTTGCCGATCATTTCAATAGGAATCCTTGTGTGGAGGGTTTCGCTCGGAACCCCTTTGCGGAGGGTTTAAATGAGAATCCTTTCGCTGATGATTCCAAGAGGAAACCCTCTGTCGAGGGATTTGTTTGAATCCGTCTGTGGAAGGTTTCAATCGGAACCTTACCGTGGAGGGTTCCAAACGGAATCCTCCTGGCGGAGAATTTCCACGGGAATCCTTAAGTGGAGGGCGTCAATGCGAACTCGTCTGTGCAGGATTTCAGTCCGAATGCTTTTGTAGAGGATTTAAATCGGAATCCCATTGTGGTCGGAAACGCTGTCGGCTATTTGGTGCCAGACGATAGCAGACGATATCAGACGATAGCAGATGATAGCGGACGATAGCAGACGAAAGCAGACGATAGCAGACGATTGCACCCAAATGCCTTGTTGCCTCTTGTCGGCCCCCTGCGATTCCTGCCGGCCCCACAGCTGGTGTCCTGCTATCGTCTGCTATCGTCTGCAGCGGGTCCTGGCAGCTCCCAGCTGGTCCTGTCGTCTGCTATCGTCTGCGGCAGACGATAGCCGACGACAGCCACCCCTGGCTGTCCCTATCAGATCCTATCGCCTCCTATCGTCTGCAGTCGTCTGCTATCGTCTGCAATCGTCCGTAGCGGGCCCTGGCAGCCCCTAGTTACCCCTATCGCCCGCTACCGTCTGCTATCGTCTGCAGCGGGTCCTGGCAGCTCCTAGCTGGTCCTATCGTCTGCTATCGTCTGCGGCAGACGATAGCCGACGACAGCCACTCCTGGCGGTCCCTATCAGATCCTATCGCATCCTATCGTCAGCAGTCGTCTGCTATCGTCTGCAATCGTCCGCAGCGGGCCCTGGCAGCCCCTAGTTACCAGTCTGCTATCGTCTGCAATCGCCTGCTGCAGACGACAGTAGACGACAGCCTTGTTAAAACGTCTTTGTAAAAGTTCTGTTGTGAAGCATCACGTTAAAATCTGACTCAACGTCACTGCCTTAATATAAAGCGATTTAACTTCTGCTTTCTCGGATAAGCGTTGAAACTAGACAGAAATTATCATCCGCAACAAATGATTTTATAACTTAGGATGAAAATTACTTGTTGGTCTTAAGGGATACGCGGAGGGTTGCCGGATATCTTCTGGACATCATCAGGGGAGAGAGGAGAGTAGTATTCATATTTTGTAATTGCAGAGAGAGAGAGGGGGATAGGGAGAGGGAGAGGGGGAGGGAGTGGGGAAGGGAGTGGGGGAAGGTGGGAAAGGGGAGGATGTGAGGTGGCACAAGGGTGCAATCTATTCACCTGTTTCGGATCACGCGTCGTAGAGCTTTGATGGCAAGCGGAGCCATGGAAAATCGGGCGCGAGGGGCAGCTAGTCGGCGAACGCCGAGAAATTACATTTTGGTAGCCTGGGGCCATGTTCTTGTAGGACGCAGGATTTGACATGGCACATGTTGCGAACCCCCGTTTCCGCTCGCATCTTGATCCGTCGCGCATCGATGTGCGTTATGATCTATCTGGCCGTGGCTTCAGCAGCTCGGTCACGGATGTCTGCAGAGACCAACCCCATGTTGATCAGGAGGGCAAACACACAGACACAATCAATCGTCGATTCCCATGAAAATATGGGAAAATGGGAAGTGGGGGGAAGACAAAAACCAAGAAGATGTGGGAACATATGGGGAATCCTGTTATATCTGTGTGTGTATTCATTTGTGTGTCCTGGGGCCCCTGCAGTTGATGCTACCCGCAGCCACGTGGGCTCAGGCGTCGCAGGCCGAGGGGCCCGGGGCGGCCGGGCCTGCGCGCGCGCGCAGGGGCGGGGGCGCCCGCGCGGGCGGCAGGCGATGCCGGGGCCGCCGCACGGCGCGGAGGCTTCGCTGCCTCGATACGCACGTTTTGACACGCAGCACGCGTCCGTGCTCAGAACGTCCGTGCCAATGCGTTGCGTGTTGGCTCAACGTCTCGGCCCACGCTCTGGCGGAAAGCATCGCGTCTGGCCCACGTTTCCAGGGCACGTGCTGGGCTACGTATCAGTGCGCTACGTGTTGCGTGTTGCGCATCGGGCCGCCGCACGGCGCGGAGGCGGTGGGCGTGCAGGGCTTGGGGGAGAAGCTGGCCCAGCTGGTGCAGAGCTCCCCGCGGGCCAAGGTCGACGACGCGTCAGAGTGACCCTTCGCCGGAGTGGCCCTCGGCGTCGGCCCACTTCTGGACTTCTGGGGTCCCCCGAGCGCCGGGGCCGGCGCGACAGCGGCGCCTCGCGAGCGCGGGTCTGGCCTCCCCGCGGCCCCCTCCCCCCACAGCCGCGCGCCAAGGGTCACTTGCCAGGCCCTCGACGTCGTCATTTTTTCTCACGTGGACACCCCCAGAGGTCTCGACCCATTCCCCGGGACCGGCTTTTCGCCCTGAGTCGTTGCCTGACGGCCCCCGGGCCGGGCAGGGGCCCCCAGAGGCTGCCCAGGGAATAGCGAGAAGCCCTCCGCCGCGATCTGTTCCTGATCTCGAGGGGGTCTGGGGCCTGCGTGCAGCCGACAAGGGGAAGCTCCTGCTGAACCTGACCACCGGGAAGCTCGAGGCGAAGGGCACCCGGAGAGGGGCGGCCGCCCCGCAGGCCGCCGCAGCCGGCGCCCCCGGCTCGCCGGACTCCGTCAGCGTCCACAGCGGGGGGGCGGAGGCCGAGGCGAGCGAGGACGAGCAGGAGCGCCGCGGGCTCCGGCAGAGAGCGGGGCGGCGGGCTTCTGGGGCCGCCCTCGGCCCACGGGTGCCCTCGCCAGGCCCTGGGGGCCGTCAAGAGCACGGCCCAGGACGAAGCGTCGGCCCCGGGGAAGCGGAGGCGGCGAGGACGAGCAGGAGTGGGGAGGAGGAGGAGGAGGAGGAGGAGGAGGAGGAGGAGGAGGAGGAGGAGGAGGAGGAGGAGGAGGAGGAGAGGAGCAGGAGCAGCAGGAGGAGGAGGAGGAGAGGAGGGAGCAGGAGGAGGAGGAGAGGAGGGGAGGAGGAGGAGGAGGAGGAGGAGGAGGAGTTCCGACGCTCCGAAGACAAGCGCGCCCTGGAGGGCGCGGAGTTGTCTCCCGCTGCGCGCTTCGCGGGTCGGCCCGGATTCCTCCTCCTCCTCCTCCTGCTCCTCCTGCTCCTCTCCTCCTCCTCCCCTCCTCCTCCTCCTCCTCCTCCTCCTCCCTCCTCCTCCTCCTCCTCCTCCTCCTCGTCCCCCTCTTCTCCCCTGGGTGGCGGCGCGAGGGCGCGGAGCTCGTCGCGCTCCGCGCAGCGCCGAGGGCGCGAAGTCAGTTGCGGGCGCCCTCGGAGGGCTGGGGCCGTTTCCGGCCTGCGGGGCTCCCGCTGTGTGGCTGGAGCCCACGAGGCCACCAGAGAGGCCCCACGAAGCCCTCCTCCTCGTGCTCCTCGTCCTGCTGGCCCCTCCTCGTCCTCCTCCTCCTCCTCCTCCTCCTCCTCCTCCTCCTCCTCCTCCTCCTCCTCATCGTCCTCCTCCTCGTCCTCCTCCTCCTCGTCCTCCTCCTCCTCGTCCTACATGGGGCCGTTTTCGGCCTGCGGGGCTCCCGCTGGGCCTCGGGCCACGTACGAAAGGCCAGTCTTGGGAATGCGGAGACGACGACGGCGGCGACGACGACGACGACGACGACGGCGGACGACGGCGACGACGACGACGACGGCGGACGACGGCGACGACGACGACGACGACAACGACGACGACAACGACGACGACGCCGACGACGACAACGACGACGGCGACGACGACGGACGACGCGGACGACGACGACGCCGACGACGGACGCCGACGACGCCTTCCTCGGAAGCCTCCCGAGGTCCCCGGAGGTCCTCCCGGAAGGGGGCCTCCAGGGCCCGCGCACCGAACAAGTCGGTGCGGCCGGGTGTCCTGGGGCGCAGGAGACGCGGGGCCCCGTGGCCGTGTCGGACGCGCAGTCGGGCTCCCTCTCGGCGCCCGCCTCGCCCCCCGCCGCGGTGTCGCCCTCCCCGGCGTCCTCGGAGGGGCTCGCGGACGTCGCCGAGGTCGAGCCGCGCCCCGAGGGCGCTGCGCTGGCCGACGAGGCGGCGTCCCAGGGCGAGGAGGCGGCCGCCTCCTCGTCCTCGGGCCAGCTGCCCGAGTCGCCCTCGGCGTCGCCGAGCCTGGACCCCCGGCTGGCGCGCCCGCGGAACATGCTGGCCGCTGCAGCGGCGCGGCCGAAGGTTGCGGCGAGGAGGAGGAGGAGGGGGAAGAAGAGGAGGAGGAGGAGGAGGAGGAGGAGGTGGAGGAAGAGGAGGAGGAGGAGGAGCAGGAGGAGGAGGAGGAGGAGGAGGAGGAGGAGGA